GGGTGAAGGTTCAGGGGAGAGGTCACTATGACTCTGCCTATGATTCACTTGTCCTTATCTAAATTGGTACTATCCGCCAAGGCTACCTATTTACAAGGTCTATGACTACTCAGGCTGGTAAATTTCCACAAAAGCTGCCTGTTTACAAAAGTTTATAGCCATCTGTTTCAGTGTTTTTCCACAGAGACCCAAGACTTGGTGTGAGTATACATGTATGACAGGCCTATTGCTGATTTTAGGCCTATGGCTGATTTTAGGCCTTCAGTGTATAAGCAGGGCTGTCCCTGACATCTCCTCCCTTCTCTAAGTATAGAAGGGCTTTGGCAATTCTAATCTTTCGAAGGCGGGGATAGAAGCCTGACCTCCAGTAATTGAAGGGGACTTTGTAATGGCTCTGGTCCCCCTGTTGTTGTCCAGTGAGGCATGAGGCCCATACCCATCCCAATGTCTTTTTCCTGGAGAGGGGATACTTTTGACATCAACCCCTATGCAGTCAGGCTTGTCCCTCAGGGAACCCAGAGAGATATTTTTATCTTTTATTTATATTCCCTTGCAGTGCTTAGCCTCGCAGCCTAAGCAAGAATTCAGATCGCCTGTCAGAGGGGGTTCTGGGTGGCCCCTCTCTGCTTGGTCTAGGGGCAGAAGTCCCCTCTTTTAGGTTGGGTGGAGATGGGTTTTGGGAACACCCTGGATAGAGTAACAACCTCATCTTGAGTCTTGTGGTCCTCCATAGCTAACTTATGATAATGTACCTGAATAGGTTTTGCTACCAAATTATTTATCTGTTGTTTCACAAAGTTTGTCAGCCTATTTAACATCCAGGGACCAAAAGAAAGAAGCAAAAATAACCCAGTTAATGGTCCCAAGATGGGAGGAAGTAGGGTTGACAACCGTGGAGAGGTTGAAAACCAATTCTTGTACCAGCTCTCATCTTTCTCTTTCTCTCTCTGTCTTTTCTCAGGGCCTTCTCTGACCTTTTTCATGCTGTCTTTAACCATCCCTGTCTTGTCTATGTAAAGGCAACGTTCTTCTTTGAGGGCTGTACACAGTCAAGAGCTGTACACAGTCTTTTCTATTGTAAAAGAGTAAATCGAGTCCAATAAAGTCCTTTGTAATTTTTGGAGGTCTCTTCAGACAGAGAAACGAGGGATTTCTTCAGATTAGTGATGTCAGTCTCTATCTGTTTGATGTTCTTGTCAATGGCCTGTCAAAGGTCTGAGTAGTATAAATT